AAAAAATTATATTTATTACACTTTTAATTTATATATTTAAAATAAAAATTAGATTAACATTATATTAATTTTAATATGAAAGTTAATTATAGAAGGGAAGAAAGTTCAAGTAAGTGAGGGCGATTCTTTTCTTCCTAAACATAAAATAAATAAAATTTTAAGCCACCCTTTACAATTGCAGGGGTGGTGTCCCAGTGGCTAGGTGATGGAAAATGCTTAATGAGTCTAGTGTTCGAAGCCTGCAGGTGACAACTTTATGGGAAATTTTCCAAAAGATTTAAACCGTCCGATTGAACGGTTTAACGGTTTGTACCGGTCTGAACGGTTTCATCGGTTTTGAACGGTTCAACCGCTTCACCGGTTCTAAACCTTAACCCGAACCGTTTATTGTACCTGGTACCGGTCCGACCGGTTCAACCGGCCGGTCCGGTCCGGTTTTTAAAACATTGTTTTGACGATCCAACCATCGAAACCAGGGAAAACCGCTTGACCCGTCCAACCCAGTAGACCTAGCAAACTTGCAAGTTGAATTCACCACCTAGACGCTGCAACTTCTTTTTTTTTTTCCTTCCACAAAAGGTTCAAGGTTCGATCATCACCCGATTGTTGAAATGAGTTGGGTGAAGACCCAGACCCGTTTTTATGATCCAACTATCAAAACCCAAGAAAATCACTTGACCTATCCACCCTGATAGACTCATTTTGACAATCCAACCATCAAAAACCGAGAAAACTGCTTGACCTGTCCAACTCGATAGACTTGGCAAACTTGCAGGCTGAATTCACCACCTAGACGTTGCAACTTCTTCTTTTTTTTCCTTCCACAAAAGGTTCAAAGTTCATAGCTTAAATTTGTTATCTCCAAGGTTCAAACACATGACTTCAACTTTTCAACGACTTTTGCAACTAGAGCTTCACCCTTTAGAAGATTTGAAATCTTTTGCTCAAAATTTTATTTAGGGAGAATATCATTTAAGAAATTAGATCTTTTCAATAAAATATTGTTTACTTTTATATTAAAATTAATATAAAATTTATTTAATTTATATTTCAAATGTATAAATTAAAGTGTAATAAATAATAATTTACATAAAAAATTAATATTTATTTTAACATTATTAATGTGTAAATAATTTTAATTGGTTAATTAATTAATTTAAAATCAATTTTTATAATTTTTAAATAAATTAATTATAAAAAATTATATTTATTACACATTTAACTTGTTTTAGAAAAGTCCATTAATATATTATAAGTTAAAAACATGATAATATAAAATTTTATATTTATATAAATCTCAATTTTTATAATTTTTTATATAAATTAATTATAGAAATTATATTTAGCATATTTTTAACCTATGTAATAAAAACTCATTATAAATTACAAATTAGAAACATATTAATTAAATTTTGACATTTCTTGGGTTTGACATTATATTTATTAATATCTAATTGAACTGGTGATTTTACTAATTGAACTGGTTAAACAGGTCAAATTGGGACCTAGAGGTCAAAATGGTTTGACCTCCGAGTCAATTTTCAAAACACTGATCTCTAGATGTATCACTCATTCCGCTCCTAAGGTAAGGAGTCTTTTGTGTGTTATAATTTTTATGGGAATGAATCGCATATGTTGGTTGAAGTCTCAACTTTAAAAGCACCACTTTTTAATGAATATTTTCAAAATCCAACAATTAGAGTTAATATTTTATTTATATAGATCATGCATATTATTAACAAGAGTTTGACTAAGTTAGTACTTACTAATTTAAAAACTTAATTTGGGATCAAAGGTTCAAACCTCTACAATGTCACGTACTAAACTTCTAATATACCAAAAAAATAATGCATATCAATTTTCAGATTGATTGAATACATATAATTAGTTTATTGATTATAGAAAATTTATCACCATTAAAAAATATATATGAGAAAATACAAATTTCTTGATAGAATAATTATAAATATTAAATGTGATACCCCAAAAATTTTGAGTACTTTATTAATCATATTTATCGTGGTTTAAGGGCTTGATTAGACTAAACAAAAGTTGTAGCAATTTAATTAATTATGTAAGTGACTTATTTTGGATTGAGTCGAAACTAGAATTTTTGAGAGAATCTAAAGTTTAAGAAATGAAAAAATTAAGGACTTGGTTGAGAAGTTTAACCCTAAAACACCAAGAAAATGTATAAATAAGGATATTAGCTTTATACTTTTTTTATTTAAGGATATTGATTTTGTTAGTTTTTAAATAAGGATATTAACTTTCAATTTTTTCTATT